TTAGAGGTGCGAAGTGGAACAACAGTGAAGAAAAAACGAAAGGAAAACGTCAAGGAGGCCTAATATGAGACCCCCTGTCCAAAAGCAGCGGAGGGCGGTCGTAGCGGGGCCAGGCGGCGATAGCGCATAGTACATGCCCTGGGGCCTTATTACCGCGCCGTTCGAGATTTTGAGCGTGGGAACATCTCTACGGGTGCGTAACCAAGTACAGGAATGACCGAAAGGGTTGGTTAGGTCAACTAAGCCCGACCTTTGCCTTTAACCCTTTGACTACTGGTGGGACACATGTGTCCCACTTCGTAGTCAAAGACACTACCACAGTTCCAGGGAATATTGAGGCAGGAGCTCATTTGATGGCTGAATTGTGCACATATAGAAGCTTTCTAATTCTTACTATGACAATAAATCGTCAGAAGCTAAAGCGAGTCATCCTGTGTAAGTTAAAGGCAAAAGTCGTGTTTCGGCATTATGGCGCCTGATATTGAGTTTAGAGATGGGAGGTGGAACGATAGTGAAGAAAAAACGAAAAAAAACCTCGACAACACCGAAATCGAAACCCCTTTCCTTCTAGCAGTGAAGGAGGCTTGCTCTTCGTTCCATGCCAGCCGTTCCATCGGTTGATACGGCAATCAACCTAGCTGATCTCACACGTTAGGCCAGCCACGCACCACATCCCGCGGTGGGCGATCCGTGCTGCCGGGAAATTCTCGCAGCACGGCAGCACACAATGCAAGGCCCTAGCGCCTTTGCCGCGCACTTCTTTGTCGCGACAGCCTCACACCCCCTCTGCTTGGAGACCCCACTTTTGCACCCTATAAAGGACTTCCTAATGTTCCCTAATCCTGACTCGTGGCTTTAATAAGTACACATGTGTACCACTTTCGTAGTCAAAGTCACTACCACAGTTTTGGCACTTATTGAGATCGGAGGGCCCGCTTTATGGCGGAATTGTGCACAACTAGAAACTTGGTAATTCTTACTCTGTCAGCGAAGTATCAGAAGTCTAAGCGAGTTACGCTGGATAAGTTGATAAGCAAGTCGTTCCACAGGTCACTGGGCAGTGTGCACAGCTCCCGAAAAGGTAGTTTTCGAGTCTCACACTCTTTGAATTGTGTTAATGGTTCCAATATTTCCTTATTATTTATGGAGGTTTTTATCGGCCGCAAGCCAGCTAGAGGACGACAGCGTTTTACGACTGCGTTGGAAATTCCAACCTCCGGAGTTTTGTCAGTTCGTTTGATGCGGAAGTGGTAGTAACACTCCTATGATGACGCAGCTTTCGAGCATAAAAACCAGCGAAAATTCGTTAGAGGAGAAGCAGCCGGTGGGCGCAGCCTGTAGGCAGGGGAGCAGCACTTCTACAAAGTGCGGCTTGCAATTCTTTTCAAGTGCGTTCCCAACCGGACATTGCCTTGTTCCACGAATGAGATGTGATAAATCATTCAAGCAGAGATGGTGTAGTGACAGGAGGGGCCACTGCCGCGCATGGTCTCTGGATCGAATCGAATCCCAGCTCAAACCCAGCGCGCGTCAGCCAAATTTCTACAGATGATTAGTTGTTGCTAGGAGCGACTGTTACTACACAAAACACATCGATAACTTGTTTCTAAAAAAGTCGTAGTCTAAGGGTTAAAGGCCAATTTCCACCATGGGTTCAGACTAGAGACTTCTCTAGTAGTCTTAGAGTGATATCCACTGCAGTCGCAGATGTCCCATTTTTCCGCTCACAGAGTGCGCAACAGCGGCGGTTAGCCCCCCTAATACCACTTCTACCGCATTTATTTTTTTCTTTCGCAACATGCGGCTGTCTACGCCTCTCGCTTCAGCCGTGCTGCTCGCCCTCTCCCTCCTCTCGCGATGAGTGTTCACCATTGTCTTAGCACAAAAATGAGGAATCCTTTAGTTTCAGTGTTCCTGACGGATTCATTTCCTGTCTTCTTCCCTGCCGGTTCAGTTTGTACCTCCACTATTTTTATGTACAAGAATCACAACACATAGATTGAAGTGTGTTCAACCATACTTCATCCCTTATGAATTAATGTATGAACCAAACGGAATTCTTTTGTCTTTCCATCTTTTGCGAATAGGAATGGAACTAGAATGCATGGCGTGTCTTATTTCGAACCCGTCGAGCACTAATCCGTTTTTGTGGCTGTGAAAAGAATATGAAGCTTGAACACAGAGACCCTGAACACAGGACATCTTGATGTACTCTGCTTGCTAAGACCTCTTCGAATGAATTGTTTACATAGGACTGAAAAGATAGATGTTCAATAGTTCCCGTTAAAGTCTTCTGCGGAAGATGAACCTACGGCAGCAATATCGCAAGACGTAGATCCCTTTCCAATATTTTTGGAATAGAAAAGACGCAAAAATTGTTGTGATGAAGTGGATATTTGGAATTTATGCTTAATAATAATTCTAATTAACTCACGTGACGATGTTCTCTTCATGGAAATTCTCCATGGATTCATTGAGTTGTTCCGTTCAATCTCTAATTTCATTAACCTTTGACGACAATGGCACCCACCGGTGGGTGCCACTATGTTCGCCGCGTGGGACAATGGCACCCAATGGTGGGTGCCACCTTAAATTTCCTTCTTTGCGCATTTAAAACATTTGTAACACCCCAATAATTATAAGCAAGTTCCATAATATCTATGACTAGCACGGCTTACAGAAATGTTTACTAAGAGCTAATTTATTATCACATAGACTAGAACTGAACACTGTGAACAGTATCTTCGGAAGCGTCAAATTGTATGGCGCATCCGTTGTCGCCGTAATTTATTGGCGGCACCCTGTGAGCTTAGGAGTGTTATCACAACTTATCCTGCTACAAACATTGATATCTCAAGTCCTGTGAGCTACCCGATTTGTTAGCGGTGTTTACTCCATGAGCTTCCTTATCACTCACTTCATTTTGCGGACGGACAGACGGACATACATACTTACATATACATACATACAGATACATTAAACCGACACACAAAAACATATATACAAACCGACGCACCAAGTAAGCGGTTTATAAAATAGAAGTATTGCAGAATGTGCCATAAGTGTATAATAGTTTTGCATTATTAGATTGATGATAGGTTTTCTATACATTAGAAATGGAAAGGGGTCCAAGTGTATCGATAATTCTCTTGGACGCTTGAACTTTCAGAGGTTTTGCCCTCCTCCCTTTGAAGCCGAATTTCCCTTCCAAATTGGAATTCTCTTAAGGAAAGTGATAGAAAAGGCTTATGAGCTGTAGTATATGCAGTAACGTTTAAGTGAAAACTCGATAAATAACCTACTTTGAGAAACAATTTTGCCCCATTATGGGCGATGGTTAAGCGAGCCAAAAAGAGGTGTGGTCCCGTGAGCAGCTATGTGCAAATCCGCACTGTCGTCGAAGGTCAATCCACACTGCAACGTTGCCTGATCACCTAAGCTGTGATCCTTGGAGCGCTTTTCAGAAGTTGCAATCGGCAACCCTCCTTCGGCGGTATCGATCGTTTTCCAGAGCAACAATTTTTATTTATTGTGGTTATTTCTATCGCCGTTGTAGTAATGAGAGGATTGTTCAGCTGTGAAAAATCGTCGAGCTTCAGTTGGCTCAGCAGCACTGTTCAAATTGTATATCTCTATTTTTGCGTCGCCTTGGAAACGATTTTTGACGTAAATAACCATATACTGACCAAGAAACAGGTCGAGTCTGTGGTGAAATCAGTAATTGTTTTCATCCAGTAGAACATGCTGCTATCCAATTTCACTTCGTTAACTCGCAAAATAATTAGGTGGCAATGTATTTATTAATGAAAGGAGGGGATTCAGGAATACTTGTCCTACAAACTAGCAATTTGCGAGCGTTCCAATAAGTGGTTGAATTCATATCTATTGATTAGTTACTGACAATTCAGAAGCCAATTCCACGATTGACTGGATCGAGCTCTGGACAGGGTATCTGCTCGATCTACACGACTGGTGGTATTTTCGCAGCTCGGGAGCGCGGGGCAAAGGCGTCAGGAGCTCACTATGTCGGGCTGCAGTCTATGCGATGCATGATGTCAGACTTAGCGAATCGAGCGGTTTGCTTGCCGCAACGGCACCACGGACGCTAGCGAATCGCTCGATCTGCGAAGTCTGACATCGGCCATAAAAGTTTCATGCATTTGTGACTCCATCAAGTCTGGAAAGGACTAATTTTAGTGCTAGTGGTTCGGCGCTATCGCAAGATAGGGCTTGTGAGGGTAGACATTGAAACCGCGCAAAAACATCTTCTTTTTGTGAAACAAATTAAAAGCACCAATGCGAAGAGAGGAAAGTCTCTAGATGGCCCAAGCAGTTTCACTTACCTCGTAGTTCGCTGCCCCTTAGATACTCTTAGAGGATTTCATATTTGCAGTAGCGGCCCCGAATTTTTTCTTTTTTTAAATTATACCAGTTCACAACCTTTACCTCCATTTCGAGATAAAGTACCAGAACAATGTTAATCGTAAATATTATTTGTTGATGGTTTGGTTCATGTGGCGTGATAGAGATAGTGAAAACATTGCGAGAGCGGACAGTCCAGAGTCGCAGTCCGTCTTGTTTGTATCCTTCCAGACAGCGCTCTCGGCGTAACAGTCCAAGTTAGCGACACTCCGTGAGTAGACTGGAGCGCGTGTGGTATGCCCAAAGCGTCACAAAATAATAGTAGTCTCAGAGCGACCCAGAGTATGTTGATCACCGCACCACTCGCTGGTAATGGCGGTGCGACAACTTGCAATAAACCAACTTCTGCCTGATATGTATATATCTAAATAATAGTAAAATTTATCAAAAAACATCGCCAAAATGAAAAAAATCGCAATAAGTATCAGCGTTGCAATTTCATTAAGATCTATCGCATAAAATTGAAGAACAAGACTGAGCTGAAGATATAACCTGATGTAATTGGTCTCGGCTAACGTAACATAAGCACATGCACAGGTTACTTTTATTTGCAATGATTGATCGCTTGATAGATGCATCAAGTGTAGAGGGCACACATCTATATTATCACTCAGAGAACAAAATTCTGCTTGTATCTTAAAAGTAGACTAGTCAAAAATGACCGCTAGCCATCTCATGTTGACTTTGTCTAACCTATGGAGGTGAATAATAGTAACTTCAGAAAGGTGAGCTTCGAACAGATTGGACGGGAGGCGAAAATGAATGTTTCGCTTGAGCGCACATTTTGCTTTATTTATCGCGTGCAGTTGATCGCTTGTCATTCAGCATTAAAGCGAGGGATTACGATAAGTTTGGACTGGGTTCATAGTGGAAGTGGAGATGCTGAATAATGCCCCAGTGGCGAAAAAAGCAAAGAAATCCGTCAAGAAGGCGCAAAATGGGACCCCTTTCTTTGCCCGTTGACCTCCGATAATGGACGAGCTAGCAACCAATTAGGAGGTCGTTTGCACATGTTATGCTGATAGCCTCTATCATTTCAGCAAGCATCATGCTTTGATTGATCACGCATCCCATGAAAAGTTATAGGATACACTCTGGAAGTGGAATATCTCGTCACATTGGCAATCGAAGGGCGCTGCTGCTGGGGGCGGAGCACAGACCGTGGCGGGGCTCAGAAAGGAATGGCAAGCCTTGTACGCTGCAACTAGCGCACCTTTGACCACAAAAACGCAACATTTCGTTTCCTTGGGCCCCTGACTACTGCTTCCAATGGTGCATGTACTTCCACGCTGCATACGCACTTTATCGTAATCTCTCGCTTTAACAATCTTCGCTCGCAGGGGTCTCACTTGAATGAAACACTACTATTACGGAGAAGTCAGCATTTTTAAGTATCATTGCGACAAACGAGCAACAAACATTTTTTCAACTGCACTTGCCCACCCTTGTTTATGCAGTAATACTAAGTTATAGGCGGACAGTGGGTAATGGCAAGTGATCGAGAAATCGAATCTGGGTCATGATGCGTCCGGGCCCACCAAGCGTTCCATCCTCCGGGGCCGGTTAATTGGTACCAGACTTGTCTGGGAGGATAAAAACACTGACTTGTTCATCGGCTGGCCCCCCAAGTCATTGTATAGGCCACATCGCATTCAAACGCCATTACGAATGTACAAATGGAAGTAGAATGCGTGCCGCATCCCAAGACGGGACTTGATCAGCGGCAAAACTTTATCCTTTATTTTTAACTATCCGCCATCGACGCCAATCAACGAGAAGTTATACAGTCAAATTGTTTCAGTCTAAGGGCTTCCGAGTAACTTCCTGACATGCCAGTTTTGGAATGCTTTTGGGACCATTTTCAATGGACCCAAAATGTGCTCTTCAATACTTCGTTGAAAGCGTCGTCGGTGGTTCGAAATAATGGGAATTCAGTTGAAATTTGAAGTGAAAAGTCTTCCTATTGCTCCTTCCGCCCTCTCTGCTCCTTTCCGCCCCTCCTTCCCCACATACATTAAATGTGACTGACCGTAAAAGAGAAAACCCCGGAATGTACAGCTTTTCGCCGTTCTTCCACATATGAAGACACTTAAAATTGGCAGGGGTTGCAATCGAGCTGGTGTGTCACTCTGTTCGGACATGAAACAAGGGTGAGAAGAGTCTTGTCGTTGAGAAAAAACAAATGAAACAATAAAAGCATTAATTGGAAATTGTCCCCTTGGAGCGAACATGGTGCTAATGGAAAGAACAGACGGTTATGCTTACGAGAAGAGGATTCGCTTGAGGAGCACGCCATCCGAGAGGCGCAACACCGCTTATGCTACTAATGTGATGAAGTGGCGGACGACAAGGTGGTATGTTAGACGTTCATTGCCTTGCACTCAAGTGCGATAGTGCCTATTGAATTCATGTGCTTAGGCGCCCGTGATGCCGCATTCACGGTTAAAATCGTCTAAAAATGGAATTGCGACTTTGCATCAAAAGCAACAGCATTTCTAGACCAGTTCAAGAACATGGTTATACGAACGGTTTAGCACACAAAGTTCTCAGACTGCTTTTTAGCGATAAGTCAGGTCGGCAGTGCCACCATGAGGTTTGTTCAAAATGGTTCATTCCCCCTTCCCTCCACCCCCCCCCATACGCAAGGACTTCTCTACCTTATCACCATGATTTACAAAAGCGAGCTCGAGTCATCTACATTCAACACGAAAAAAAGACTTGTTGTTAAAGAAATGATTGAAACCATATGAAGTTCGATGGTGAGAAATTTTTATAGAAATCAGTCAATTACGGAAAACATCACTATGATCATAAAATATGTCGCCAGGTACAAGATCCTTTTTGTGAAACCTGTTGAAAGTATCTTTCGCTCTTTTGAAAATGATAAGTAAAGGATAGCCAATGAAGTTTCTCGCTTTTTTACAGGCTTTCGAGCTATTGCCCAAGTGTAAAGTCGTTTCGTTGCAGGCGTTTTCGAATGCTTTCAAGCCCAGGAATTTATGGAATTCAATAAAGTGATAGGTTTTTGCTAAGGAAGCGCCACTAGAGGCGCCACCACTTCTTTGTAGTTGTTCGCTTTAGCCATCATTCAAATGACAAGAAGAGAAGCGATACCTGCTTAACCATACTTTGAGCCATGACGAGACCGACAGATCGGGACGAGGGAAAAAATCTAGCCGCTATTTTCAAGGAGTGAACAAAAACAATATTTAGTGAAGTTTCAAAACTTGATATTTATTCACTAAGAGCTGGGATTCCCCGAGCAGAAAAAGCCCTCCACGCCGTTGGAGTCGAAACAGTCGAAACATCTCCCAGCATTGAACTGAGAGAACCGTTTCGTTCGAGAAGCACACCAAAAAGGACGATAGGGCCTTTTCGGTGCTCCCGACAACCGGCCGTCGATGGTAGTCGCTTTTTTGCGCCACCTGCTTGTCGATGTACTCTCGTAGGGCTATGCCCTCTCTCATATTCTTTCTTCTCTGGTTGCTCTGAATCTCGGTAGTGACACATCTGACCTTCCAGGGGTTTATATGGGAACTCTGACAGATGCAGCAAATGGCTGCGTTGCTAGAAGGGCCAACTATGCCTAAGAACTCATCCATCGAAGTGATCAGACCAATTCAGCGCAGGCCAGTATCGGTCTGTTGAATTACATTGCTTATCAAGAAGTGCGAAGAGAAACATTTACAGGGGAGAAATAGCAAAATAGACCATAGAAAACAGTGAAATTTCCTTTGTGAGGTCGGCTGTGGTATGACGGAGAGACACAGCGCTGCGAAGGAGAGGGAAAACGCGAGAGAGCGTCGCACGCAAAACTGCGAAACGCACTTTTGAATCCGGGCAATGTAGCGACTCGTGCGTCTGGACACATCTTTTTCTCTCAAGAGGAGAGGGACCTCTTGGCACGTAACCCTGACCCGCGCCTTTAACGTGGGACAGATCATGTAGGAGTGAATTACATGCAGTCTCCATTGGTGTATAACTCGGTCTTCTAACAGACTCCTCTCCCGAAAACGTTGGCCAAGTTGTGATGGTACGTGTGTCCCACTTTAGTCAATGGGCTCACCCCATCCAAGTTTAGGCTTATGCAACTCAAACTTTGCTATACATCATTTTTTCAAAAGATACTTAGAGTAGGAAATGGCTCCTATACTTTGAGCAAAGCAACTTGATCCGTCCCATGTCCGCAATCTGGCAACACTTTTCGACAGCCTTTCCTACCCTTCATCACGAATTTCTAGCTAAGGTTTTTAACCTGTCATACAGCGAAGAAGCGCAAGTTAATCGGCATCAGCCTTCCTCCCACTATTCCATTCTCACTAAACGCCCAGAGCTTGCACGAAGAAAACGAATACTGCACTTTCGATGGACACGCGAAAAAAGCGCACTGAAGCACTGCTCGGTCGTTCACGTACACTGCGAGGAAGACCAGATGTGAAGAACGTGTTATGGTCATAATTTTTCGTGATGGTCCGTGAAAGTAGCTGTCGTCGCGAGAGCCAGGGAGGCTACTCCAACACTAGCATCCTTCCTTCTGCATTCTTCGGAGCATCTTCAACCCACAGACAACTAAGAAAATGCATGATGCCATAGAATAGCTCAAGAGGACCTGCTGCGTTGGGGCGTATTACGGTACGAAAGGGAGGTTCTCTAAGGTTGCGTGGACAAGGTTTTGACGAGCTGCTAGCCAGCTTTCAGTCTACCGCATGCCGACGAAACCGGTATCAGCCAACGGCCTTCACCCAAGTTGGACTTTTAAGTGATTAACAAAATGTGTTATCCCATTAACCCTTTGACTACAATGCGAATTTGCACATAGCTGGCTCGTGGGACCAAGCCTCTTATCGGCGCACTCAAATCTCGCACAACATTGGAGGAAAATTGTCCCTAAAGGCAGATTTTTTATAATATGGACTTTAACCGCACACACCAAAACAACTAACTGCAGCGATTTGACACTTATATATATTCGTTAGAAAAGAAATGAAGGCTTCGAAGGGAACTCAGCCTTCAAAAGGGATGGAGGGTAAACGCTCGTTTATATATACAGCATAGGATACTTAATACAGTTCAAACCTTTCGTTGTGTCCGAAGACTATGAAAAGATGGACAAGCCTTCACCAGTAATTGATATTCAGTCTAATAGTGCAGAAACCCAGTATGCCGTCGAGCTAAATGTCACACACTGAAATTTCATGTAAATTAGCTCCTTTAAACACCATGCTCTACATAGATAAAGTGAGCTGCTGATAACTACTAGAATGCTAAAAATCTTTCAAATGCACAAAAGAGAAGATGTTAGGTGCCAAAGGGTTAAAAGCTGAGCTAGGGTGAACTAATGCCGGGTAGTGTGGCACTATTGCC